CTTTTTAAAATACTCGAGTGCGGAATCAAATTTAAAGCAAGCTATTTGAAGGATTGAAGAGTTGTACAGCAGCTCATATTCATTGCTCATACTTTCGGCAACAGGAGAGCCTTCTACATCGGCATAAACAAATGAATGCTTTTTTGCCAGAGCAGCAAGGTGGTTGGTTTCAAGTAAGCTTTTATAATCGCTGCAAGACTCCATTTTCGATAGGCGGGAAAAATCGGCAGTACACGCGTCAAAATTCCCTCTTTTGAATTCCTACTGTCAATAAAAGATAACTAACGTATTGCGCCTTCAAAATGCTAAAGTTGACATTTGTTTCGCTTAACGATTCAAAGATGCTCAGGCAAGCATCGTAGTTTTTCAAAACATAATTACAATATGCCTTCAGAAATACCAGGTTTTCATCCAAATCTTCAGCATTGGCAAGTATGTCAACACATGAAGTGACGTCGGAATTCCCGATTTTGGCCGCCACCAATTGATAAATGAGCCACCTTTTCATTGGTGCCGATGTGGTCTGCTCAAAATATGCAGAGTCATTGAGGACTAATGGATTAAAATGCGCTACAAACTTGACTGCACTTTTTCGATAACCCGAGCATACTCGCCAGCTTTAATGCCTTGAATTATGTGTTCCCTGACAATGTCCATTTAAAAGGCTGGACGGTGTAAATATTAAAATCTATTTAAACTTTACGTGAACATGTCCCCCCCCTGTATTGCAAAAATAAGTACAAATTTTATTACAACAAATGTCTGATGCAGAATACGAGTTCGATAATGCAGTATCTGGTGCATCAAAAACCTTTCCCATTCAATGTTCTAGCTTGAGAAAAAACGGGTTTGTTGTCATCAAGGATCGCCCATGCAAAATTGTTGATATGAGTACCTCTAAAACCGGGAAACACGGCAGTGCCAAAGTACACCTTGTTGCGATCGATATTTTTACCGGAAAGAAGTATGAAGAGCTTTCCCCCTCCACTCATAACATGAATGTTCCCAATGTTACTCGTGCAGAGTACACCCTTTTAAATATTGACAGCAATTACCTGTCTCTCATGGAGCCCTCTGGAGATACCAAGGATGATATCAAGCTCCCAGAGGGAGAATTGGGCGAGAAGATAACGGAAGATTTTAATAACGGAAAAGAGCTGCTGATTTCCGTCGTCTCTGCCATGGGTGAAGAGCTCGTAATGTCGTACAAGGAAGCCCCAAAATCATAAATTTTCTAAATAAACCATTTTAACCAATCATCCTCGTTGTCCTCACCATGCTTCTATTGGGCGGTGTTATGAATTTCGATTAATACTCGTGTATACGCCCATGCACATGCGAAGCATTCTTCTTGTGGCTTTGATAACTCTTGCACTACTCGTCTGCAGCTCCCATTCACTGTGGGATGGGTTGTTTGACCCGAAAACCTATGGAATAGGCACAAAAACTATGGCTTCGGCGCAAATGCACCCACCCAACAAAGCGGTGTCAATACTATATTCGCTCGCGGAGAAAATAATCCTCAGTTTGTATTCCGAGTTTCTGCCATATTCTTCTGGAATTTGTTCGCTTGGCTACTCATTGGTTTCATTTTTCACAAACAGAAAGAATGTGCTCATATTCGTTACAATAAGAGTGATATATTTTAGCCTCCGCTTCATAATGTCATATTATCATGATATTAAAAGAAACAGCAGGGAAAACGCCGGCGGCATTCATAGCACCAAATTTATCCCCAGTATTCTTAATAAATTTTTTTAATGCCCATCGCCGAGGCTCGTTGCAGCGGCCCTTCAAATCCGCCCAAATTTCGAGAGCTTCAAGTTTGTTCACTGTCCCAGCTGTTATTCCAAGTATAGTTTGCGCATTTTTAATGGCTAGGAATGCACGCCACCCCCTCAAAATTTATTTCTTTACGGTGATACTGGGACAGGAAAATCACTGGCAATCGACTTTTTATTTGATCACAGAAAATCTGATCGCAATGCTGGGTATTTTCATCTGTTTGTTGACTTGCATCAAATTTACAATGAAAAGCAGTTGCTTTCCATGCTTTGTAGCGCATTTACAGCCAATTTTTTACAAAGTAATCCCCAGGTGTGTGGCCATGCATTCGAACTCATTCAAATCATAAATTCATGCATCGATACCATGCATCACAAGGATTCCAAGCGACAAATGGAGGGAAGAAACATGGTCCCCTTGTACGTTGTTTATAAGCTTTCGGATCGATTTTCCTCGATCTTCCCAACACTTTTTTCGATTTTATTTAAATTACCTTCTATTGTAAGCACTTCTTCCGTTTTTTTAACCAATATCTGGCTAAGTACCGCTTCTTGGGATAAATACAGCGGGTTTGCCCTGGCTCCGGAGCCAATTTTTGTATATTTCCCTCCATATTTAAAAACAGAGCTGGCAACTCTGCTAGAAGATCAGCCGCATCCTCCAACATTAATAACATCGCATGCATCTCTGACCACTCATAGCACTGAAACCCCGCTCCTCTCCAGCCAATTTATAAAATTCTTTATCGATATCTTCTTCCCGATTACTCATTGCTTTCCAGAGCTGGTAAAATTGTACAATCTTCTATTTCCCATTTATGAAATGCTCAGTGCCGACTCCAAATATCGGCATTCACAACCCGCTGAAATCATAAAAGCCATGCAGCCATACTTCAAGCAAATCAACGCCAATCTTTCCCAGGCCCTTTGTGCCCATAGCCCATTTGATTTTTTTGCGGAGATCGACAATCCTCATTTTTCGAACACATTGCCATCGCCCGCTTTAGCACCAATCAAACAGTTTTCCCCATACCAGCCTTTATCAACGCTGCCGGAGACTATAAAATATGTCTTAATTGCCTCCTATTTGGCATCACACAATCCACCCAAATTGGATTCTAGGATTTTTGGCGACGTCAATTTTGCCGTTACTTCAGGCACAAGAATTGTCTCGGACTCCAGGAAAAAGTTGGTGATTGCTAAAAAAGCTGCTGGCTCGGGACCTTTAGTCTCCAGCGTATCACAATACCAAGATGCCAAGGCTTTTGTTTATGAGCGCATGCTTGCCATTTATTCTAATATTGTCGAGCCTGATGTGACATCATCATCACCAAATGTTTGCGTTCAAAGTCAGGTAAGAAAATATGCTCTTTTTCTGTTTAGGTTGTGCTTCTGATCCAGCTGGGATTGTTGGAGAGATGTCACTTAGTGGAGAGGCTGGACGAAATCAAGCTTCGATGCCTTGCCAGTTACGATGTGGTTGAAAAGCTGGCCAAAAGCATTAAATTTGAGCTGAAAATGTATCTGCTTCACTAGTCACTCTCCCCAACCAGTTCCGGGGTTCATGGCTTGCAACTGCTGTAATTAATATCTCATAAAATTTATAATAAAACATTAGCCATGCTGAGCGCCTGGGACAATCCTAAATACAGATAAATTGGGGTGTCTATCATCGAGTACAGAAAGCGCCAGCAGTGACCTTTTCTGACAAATGTCAAGAGCAAGAATAGGCCGTTCATCGAGGCCACAAACGGTGGCAGACTTATTTGGCCCGCCTTCGTCACCATGTGTGATGGTTGATATTTTCTTCTTCAATACGCATTGACCAGGTGCGTTGCTAATGTCCCACACATGCAAAAGAGAATTTTCACTTCCACTGACCACGTAATTTGGGCCCTCATCGCCATCGCCATTGCGAGTGTAAAAACACGGCGTTAGGCAATAGCGTTCGTTTATATACGTGGGTTCATTTATAGTGATCGGGCAGGTGCCTTTTTTAATATCCCAAATGCGAATGGTAGAATCCAATGCACTGCACAACAGAAAGTTCCCATTCGGCGTAAATGTGATATATGAGCTACAAACGGTAAAAATCATATGGCTTTACCAAGCAGGATTTCTATCGTCAATAAATGTCCTAAGACAATCGCCTGTGGAGCAATCCCAAAGCCTGGCAAGCCCGTCGTAAGAACACGAGGCCAGTATTTGTGTGCCGTCTGGAGCAAAACAAAGAGACGTCACGGGATCCGAATGCGCGGAGATCATTCGAATGCACTCTCCTAAAACATCAGAAAAGAAAACAACCATTCCAGGCATTCCAAATGCGAATGCTCTCATCAAAAGATCCAGATGCAACCCAAGGACCTGAAGGATGAAAGCAAACGCAAAACACGATCGCCGAATGTCCCTTCAATACAAGCGAATCCGCCTTATCGGACGCAGAGTTTATCTGCCATATCCGCACAGTGGTATCGTCTGATGCCGATGCCAGTAAAGAAGAATCTGAGGACCAAGAGATATCGGAAATGCCCAACAAGTGTCCCATTAGAGTCGCTATACACCTCCACTCTTCATCAATATGATAAATCTTGATGGTGCGGTCAGATGCTAATATTCCATTATCCCCAATTTAAGCTTACAACACGTTGCTATCATGGAGCTGCACGGGCTAAACCGTATTCTGGATATTGCCTTTTTATGGGTCTCCACGACAATTGCGGACGAACTTTCAATAAGCACAAGATTGCCACTCATCGATTAATTTTTAATAATAAAATTCAAATCTTTTTTCTCTTGCAAATCTCTCAATAAGCGTACCAGCTCTTCATCCTTAAAAGGGCTGATTTTCTTTCCTGTTTGTTCGGAAAGAAACTTGAAAATAGCTAAAGACTCTTTCTCGATTTCCTTCCATATCTTCACCTCCAGTTCGGGAAGCACTTTTCGTGATGGGCTAAAATGCTTCGATACTCTGGCTCTTAGCTCCTCGGCCCACTTCCGTACCTATAATGTGAGAATTTGAATTGTCAGTACATCTTTAAGGCACCACCCTGACACAACCTTAGCAATTGCACTCATCGAACTAGAATATGAAATGTCCTCGCTGCCTCGCAAGATATTATGCGCGGAGGCCTTGGCATAAGAGGAAGATGCCTGCTTGATGCATTCGCTCAAAGATACTTCCATTTCATTTTTCTCCTGGTCATCGATTGCAATCCAATTCTTTCCAGCTTGTAAAAGATGGAGTAAAAAGAATCCGTTTTCTATGGTAAAAATCCGACTGCCATACCAAGCTGATACACAAGCACATTGGTTTTCTCTTTCTCCGTGGTGGCCGATTGTGGAAAATTAATCAGCTGCCAAATTAACGTGTTCAAAAGCGACCAAACTCCTCGCCTTACAATCTTTTCCGTTTGAGTTTCGCTATTTTCACCATTCTGGGTTGCACGTTGATTTTGGGGCAACGAAAACATGGCTTTGCTCCAAAAAAACATATTCTAGCATAAACGGATCCCATGGTTACATTAACGGCACACAACGGCCCATTAAGCCCAGTCCGTTTTCGACAAGACGGGGGATGCCTGCCAATCGCTTTAACTTGCTGGGTCTGACACGTAAGAATGAAAACGTACAAAAAACGTTTTTAGGGCCTCTGTGAATGAAGATGAGTGTTTATGAAAAAGATCCAACCCTTTGAGGTTTTTTTCCTGCTCCACGATAAATGCCGATAGAGTCAGGGTCCTTTGGAGTTAGTTATTCTCACGGCGTCAATACCTAAATGATCCTGATGTAATTACGGCATCGGCTAGTTCTTCTGCCGCTATTTGCCAAGTCCCCAGTAGCCGATGCAACAGGGCGCTAAAGTTAGAGGGACAATTGAACTCTATTTTCTGGCACTGTAATGAATCTTGGGCCACCAGCCAGGTTTCCAAGAATTTCCTCTCCGACGTGTCATATGAAATCCACAAATCGAGGGTTTGCAAATAGAGCTACACGTAAAAACTTGGAAAAAACATGAGACAAGGCATCATATCCCTGATAGCATTCTGCTGAGGTACTTGACTCCTGTAATAGCGAGGATGCAGAAAACTCGTAAAATACGGCGAATGATGGGACTGAAAACATTACCATCATCAAAACGTACCTCCAGACCGAGCAAGAGCTTCGTCAGAAAACTTTTTCGACGGCCAAATTGACCGTGCAGATTCCATCCAAAGGTCAGCAGCCATGGCATACAAATCACCCTCATACTTGATATAATCCTACAGCATAAAAAATTTGAAGGCGTTCTCAAAACACGCAATAAACGAGCAGCATACAAACCTCTTCAACATCTCTATGTAGCCGAGGTTGATTTTCAAACAGCTTCTGCATCAAGTTGGAGTATTTCAAAAGCGATTTGTCATAGTACATTTTACAGTTTTCAAAGTAGGGAATATCTCTCTTACTTTTGAAGCTGTATGAATTTGCCTGGTAAATCCGAGTAAGTTCTGTTTGTACAAACTCGGAAAATCGCGTCCAGAACGAATCCAATATTCGGACACAATGAGCTTCTCTTTCTTTTATGGACCGCAGGCTTGACATCATACTATTCTCATGATCTTTGGTTGCAAGCAAAAGCCGCTCACTAGCCTCGAGCATCAGACTCAAGTGGGACGAATCGCCAAATGAACCATTCATAAGAACTTTAAAGTACTTATCGGAAATATTGACGCCAGAAATCATTTCATTGAGCGTTTCCTTGAGTTTTTGCTGGTTTTCAATCACAATTTGCAGCTCTCCCTGCGCCTTTTCCAGCTCATTAATATCTGCTATCAATATCTAAGATAAGGAGATTCGAAATACCCGTAATTTGCCAAAAAGAAATTCAATCGAATCATCTACAGACTTTTCCGAGCTTTCCACCTGATTTAGCAGATGCTTCTGTTTCCCTATTGACAGGAACATTCCGTTGAGAAGTTCAAGACGCGATGTCATATTATTGTACAGCGTGTAGAATTGGATCAAATTTTAAATTGCTAAATTTAAGGCCTAGGGTTGGAGGCTGAGGAAATCCCCAGTCGTTTTGATGACACAAACGCACGAGGTAGCTAAATGCATTAATTGAAATTACGCACATGTTTGCATGATAGCATTACGGGAGCCATAAAAGTGAAAACCAGCGTGCCAACTTATGAACAAATATAAAGCAAGAAAGCCGTGGAAAATTGGCAAC